TCCTGATCCACCTGTATGCACCCCTCTCAGTCACTAGCACTTCTCTTTTCCAGCTTTCTCCCTTCCAGACCATTGACTACCATAGTCTATACACTCTGCTGGGACCTCTAGTCCATTGCCTCCCAGTGTCCCTCACTCACATTCAGGTTCTTGTACCTTGCCCAATTTGAGTAGCTGTTCCATTGTCATCATATCCTTGAGCCATCTCCCATCTGGCTTCTGTCTTTCTCATAGTCATTAAGCAAAACCACAATCCATGTGGAACACAACTCTCTGCAAGCCCCATGTCTGTTCCAGGAAGTCAACAGGGCTAGGGAAAAGTTGAGTGATTCCACTCTTAATTCCTGATGTTGAATGTCCTTGTTGCTTTCTTAAAAAAGAAGAATAACAAGAAGGAGGAGGAGGAGGTAGTGGAAGAAGAAGAAGAAGAAGAAGAAGAAGAGGAGGAGGAGGAGGAGGAGGAGGAGGAGGAGGAGGAGGAGGAGGAAGAAGAAAGTAAATTGAGACAGAAGAGCAAAATTCTCACAAACTCTTGCATCTACTCTGCTTATCAATAGCCCGGCTCTATTCTCTGCCATCCACTCCTTGCTATACTGTTAGACTTGTCAGATGTCAACTCTCAAACAATATACCGACTTTGATCTGGTTCTCATCCTATCAGTCTTCCCCCTCTCTCCTCCATTCTTTCTTTCCTCCCCAACTAGAAATGTCTTGTATAATAAACACCTAGTGCCCTGTCACCCCTTCTCAATGATGGTACTCCTGCAATTGTGTGTGTGCATGTAAGCATGTGTGTATGTATGTGGTGGTTTGAAAGAAAATGTCTCCCATAGGGAGTGGCACTATGAGAAAGTGTGGCTTTGTTGGAGGAGGTGTGGCCTCGTTGAAGGAAGTATGTCACTGCAGGGGTGGGCTCTGAGGTCTCCTATGCTCAAGCTACACCCAGTGTGGACACAGTTGCTTCTGTTGTGTGGGAATCAAGAACTCTCACCTCCTTCTCCAGTACCATATCTTCCTGTACACTGCCATGAAGATAATGGACTAAACTTTTGAAACTGTAAGCTTTATTAGAGTTGCTATGGTCATGGTGTCTCTTTACAGCAATAAAAACCTTAACTGAGACAGAAGTTTGGACCAGGGACTGGGGTATTGTTATGATAGGTTTGACCATGTTTTTGTTTGAAAGAATATGGACCTTGGGACTGTGAATTAGAAAGGCAGTTGAATGCTTTAAGTGCAGCTTAATGGACCATCCTAGCAGAAGCATGGAAGACAGTGGTGTTGAGTGTGATCTGAACTGTTGGGGGCTAGCTCAAGATGTTTCAGAGGAGAAGAATTTTAGAATATTGCCTAGAGATCATTCTTATAATATTTTGGCTAAGAATGAGGCCACTTTTTCCCTCTCCCTGAAAAATCTGACTGAGGCTAAATTAAAGAGTTTTGGATTAATTCTGTTGGCAGAGGAAATCACAAAACAGCCTAGTATGGACTCTGTCTTGTGGTTACTAGTGTTACCCTAATGAAGATTTATAGTGAAAAGGAAAAAGCCAAGCAAGAAAAAGTACAAAATGTACAATTTGAGGAGAAAAGGAGTACCAGGAAGTGGAATGGAGCTAAGTCTGTGTTCAAGGAGATAAACAGATCAAGAAATTGAATAAAGGGAGTAGTGAGCTCAGGGCAAGATCCCACCCAGCTACATTTTCAACTCGTGAAAAGCTTAGAGTCGGGTGTGGTGCTGCATGCCTTTAATCCCAGTATTTAGAAAGCAATGGCTGGCAGATCTCTGAGTTTGAGACCAGCCTGGTCTACAGATCCAGTTTCAGGACAGCCAAGCTTGGGCAGTAAAGGAAACCATCTTAAACAGAAAGCTGGTGAAGATGTAAATGAATGACAGCCCCAGTAAGCAGCAGAACTTGGCAGCTTCAGCTACTTAGTTCTGGTTTTAGACTCAAGGATAGAAGAAAGGGATTGTGGAATCTTCCTCAGTGAGTAAGGGAAGCCACTGAACCTAGGCATGTGTCAGGAGTGTCTCTGCATGGGGACCTAGAGAAGCCATTGTGTGAATTTGCCAAAGTGAAGCCTGGATTGCCTTGGGGACCCCAAGATGTAGGAGATGCCACAGCTATGGAATACTGACCAAGGAGAGCTACTATCAGGGAGTAGAACCAGCCCAAGAGAAAGAAATATGTTGCAGTCAATAAAGCTGAAAGGAGTTGGAGATGTGAAGGGTGCTCTGATATCAGACATGGCGATACAGAGTTTGGAGTTTGCCCAGCTGGTTTTCAGTCTTGCTTTGGTCCAGTATTGCCTCACTATTCTCCCTTTTCTCCATTTTCGGATGGTAATATATATCCTGTGCCATTGTATGTTAGAAGTATGTTATCTGCTTTTTTATTTTGATTTTATAGGATATTACAGTTAATAGATTGCATGTGAGGTCAGCACAAGCCCTCCTGAGAAACAAAATTTGACCAAAGAGTTGGTAGGGAAAGGAGAGAGCCTGTGAAGCCTAGGGGAAGCATGTTACAGACACAAGGCAGAATTTATATAAAGGTCGAAAGATAGAAACCCACGTGTGTGATGGAGTAGTTTGGAGACCAACATCACTGGACCAGGATGAGACCAAAGAGTAGGGAGCCAAATTATATCCATCCTTGCTTATAGGATTTCTGGTTTTGTTACCTGGAAAATGAATTTCATTGATGGTTGTGAGTAGCACAGTTTGATATCCTTTGGTAGGTATGCCCCAGTTACTATAAACTCTAGAACAGAGTGATTTGGGACCAGGATAGTGATCAAATTGTGACTAACTGCCATCTATGTACATTCTGAAGGTACATCCAAGGTGACGTACTAATGAGCTAGTTTGGGGATTATGGGAGACATAAAGGAGTTGATGTGATACTGTGGGTCTTGAGCAGAAGAAAGAATATCATTCCCTTATGGGATGTGGGAAAGGACAAAGGTGAAGCTCTTGAGGAAGGATGAGCAGCTTGTACTTGGTTATCAGGAGTTTTTAATGCATCTTTTGTATTTCAAGAAGGAGATTTCTTGAAATCTATTGTATTTCCAGGTGGGAATCTGGATAAGCCTGCCAGGGGCCTGGGATTCCTGGTTAAGGCTGCAAACAACAAACCTAGGAGGTGTCAGGAACAGGTGGTTTGACACATTTTAATGAAGGGCGAGGGTCGAGGGAAAGAGAGCTTGGGGGAGCGGGAGATCCCAGCTGGATCAAGAACAGAGAGGGAGAACAAGGAATAGGAGACCATGGTAAATGAAGACCACATGAGAATAGGAAGAAGCAAAGTGCTAGAGAGGCCCACAGAAAGCCACAAAGATACCCCCACAATAGACTGCTGGCAATGGTCAAGAGACAGCCCAAGCTGACCTACTCTGGTGATGGGATGGTCAAACACCCTAATTGTTGTGCTAGAAACCCCATCCAATGACTGAGGGATCTGGATGCAGAGATCCACAGCTAGGCCCCGGGTGGAGCTCCGGGAGTCTAATTAGCGAGAAAGAGGAGGATTTGTATGAGCGAGAATTGTTGAAACCAAGGTTGGATAAAGCACAGGGACAAATAGCCAAACGAATGGAAACACATGAACTCTGAACCAATGGCTGAGGGGTCACCAACTGGATCAGGCCCTCTGAATGGGTGAGACAGTTGATTGGCTTGATCTGTTTGGGAGGCACCCAGGCAGTGGGACCGGGTCCTGTGCTCATTGCATGATTTGGCTGTTTGAAACCTGGGGCTTATGCAGGGTCGCTTGGCTTGGCCTGAGAGGAGGGGACTGGACCTGCCTGGACTGAGTCTACCAGGTTGATCTCAGTCCTCGGGGGAGGCTTTGCCCTGGAGGAGGTGGGAATGGGGGGTGGCCTGGGGGGAAGGGCAGGGAGGCGGGAGGGGGGAGAACAAGGGAATCTGTGGCTGATATGTAGAACCGAATTGTATTGTAAAATAAAATAAAATAAAATAAAAACTGAATGAGAGTTCCACAGTAAAGAGGGTTTATAGACAAATGAAGATATCTGAGGAGTGAGAATGAAGGATCCTGATGTTCAGAAGCTGCGAAGAGGGGAGGCATGACCATCCTGGTATGGAGCACAGCAGGCATGGCCCTGGAGCAGTAGTTGAGAGCTAACATCCTTATCTGGAAGTAGGTGGCAGAGATAGCACACTGGGAGTGGCACAAGTCTTTTGAAACCTAAGAGCTCACTACAGTGACGTACCTCCTCCAACAAGGCCACACCCTCTAATCCTCCCAAACAGTTCCAGCCGTGGGAGACTAAGTATTCAAACACAAGCCTATGAAGCTATTCTCCTTCAGACCCACTACACAAGACAACTTAACAGCACGTATATTAATCAGCAACCCCAGTAGTAGATTCTTCCTTAGGGCCAACAACCTCCTCACCCATGGGCTTTTCACCAGGTTTACAGTTCTACACATGTATTCCCACCTACAGGGTGGGCCTCAGCTCCAGTGAAGAAGCAATTGGTCATAACGACAACAGTCATGTTACTATTCCACTAGTGGTTCTATTTTGTCTGGTCAGTATTGTGATACAGTGTCTGCATCTGGGTTAAATTATTGATAATTTTTCTTCCCCAGCAGCTTGCATAGCACCTTCCAGCACTGTCTAGCTCAGTTCTGGTTTGATTTCTCTATGTCCTATATCCAAAGTATGTATTGTCTTCAGCAATAGGATCTTACTGTTTAGTTCTGGTGAGCAGCTCAAACCAGTGGCAATAGCCTGTATTATTTTGAGAACCTTTGGGGGCTCCTTGGCCAGTAACTCATAGGGCATTATCCCATGCTTAGTACTAGGATTTTTGGATTAATAACCCATGACTTCTAGAAGCAGCATTATCCACCCATGCAGGGTGGTTCCATTCAAGCTCTTTTTTTCTTTCTATAGAGACAAGGCCTCACTATCTAGCACAGGCTGGCTTAAACTTGCAATCCTCTGGCTTTCTTGGTGTGTCTTTGTTTCAGGTCATTATCCCTGTCCTAGCCAATGAAAAGAACCATCTAGACTGGCCCCACTTGGTGTGTCAAGACATCAGGCATCATGCCCACTCCCTGCAGTGTGACCTCCTGGTAATCCTTGAGCACGTGAAGGGGAGAACCTTGCTGCCTCTTCCAGTTGGCTCAGAAAAAGTAGAGTTCGTGGATGGCCACAGCGAGCCAGTGTAAGTACCATCAGCCTGTAGGCCTTGGTGATGGGACAGAAGCTGTTTTATCTGAGCGTTTCTCCCAGGGCCTTTCCTCTGCCTGACTTTACACATCTCAGTCCACACACAAGCCCACTGCTGACTCTGGCTGCCAACGTCCTTGGATTGTTGTCTTCATGCTCATTGTGACCCTTGCCCAGTCCTAGTGCTTCAGATCTCCTAAAATTCTCTCAGCAATGTGGTCTTTTTTTCTACCCCAAATCATTTCGGGGCTGAGAGCAGCCAGGGCAGCTTCAGTGTTCTCAGGATGTGGCTCATGGCTGAACGATACTTAATCCAGTAGCTGCACATCTCCTACCTGCATGCCCCTGTGCACCCTACCATAGAACTAGCTATCAGGCTCTTGTTACAGTTCCAGCCTCCATTCTCCAGTACCTGCAGACTTTTGAGACCCCAGAGATATTTCCCCCCCCTAGGAGCCGTCAGATCTGGCTCCACTGGAGAGTCCATGCCTCTTGCCCCTGAGTGGCCATTAAAACATCAGCCTCCTTTGATTATGTTAATTTTGTCTATTTTTTTTTTTGGAGACAGGCTCTCATTCTATGACCTAAGCCTTCCTAGAACTTTCCTTGTAACACAGGCTGGCCTCAGACTCAAGGTTCTCCTGCCTCAACCACTAGCCCAGGTCTAAGATAACTGGCCCATGCCCCATACCAGATCCTCTGCTTTATAATGTTATGTCTCCCATCTACTTCTCAACTGTTCCAGCTTTGAGTTTTCTTTGTCTTTGTATCCAGGGGTATTTTTTTCCTCTTCCAATCCAGTCTATGTAATATATGTAAATATATATAAATATATGTAAATACATATAATATATGTAACTATATAAATACATGTAATATATGAAAATATATATATTCTTGTATTTTCATCCAGCATTTCTATGCATTTGTGGCAATAGGTCCACCTTCCTGCATGAATGTGATCTGCCATATTGTCAGGTTTCTTTCAATATGTGACTGTCATCATGTTTATTCAGGAACCATGATGTACCCGAAGAATAAGTAGTGCATGCAACTGCAGCAGTAGTTTTATGTGGGAAATGATTGTATATTTATATATAATTTGAAGGAGCATCCCAGTTAACTGGAAAACTAATTGTGGTTTAATAAAAATATCCAATTTTCAAAATAAATACAATTAATCTCCCCCCTTTTCTCAGCTCCTTTATACCATATCTCGATCTCACTCAGCTCATGTGTGTGATTCCCTGCTGAGTTGGTCTCCTTTTGTTCATCTTTGATAATTTCCCCGAAGGCTGCATCATTTGGGGAGAGGAGAGCATATTTTTTAAATGTCTTTCAAAATCACTTGTGCTGTATCATTTCTAAGCAAATATGAATTTCACATTAAGTGAAGGTGAGTTCCTGATGTGAAAATGCCATCCATACATTTCCTTTCTCCATCACTATGCCCCTGTTACCTGACATATAGTTTTCAGTTGAGACTCTGAACAGCAGCCAATTTTTATTTTAATTTATTTAAAATGAAAATGTATTTACTTGTAGCTAGAGTTTTCCTGCCTGGCCCACAGTCAGGACAAATCTCTATCACCCACCAGTCCCACAGCCGCTCAGACCCAACCAAGTAAACACAGAGACTTATATTGGTTACAAAATGTATGGCTGTGGCAGGCTTCTTGCTAACTGTTCTTACAGCTTAAATTAATCCATTTCCATAAATCTATACCTTGCCACATGGCTCGTGGCTTACCGGCATCTTCACATGCGGCTTGTCATGGTGGCGGCTGGCAGTGTCTCCCTCACCCAGCTTCCTGTTCTCTCAATTCTCCTCTCTGTTAGTCCCGCCTATACTTCCTGCCTGGCCACTGGCCAATCAGTGATTTATTTATTGACCAATCAGCAACACATTTGACACATTTGACATACAGACCATCCCACAGCATTTACTATTATTGTGGTGTCTGGGTATGTGTATGGAGTGTGTGTGTGTGTGTGTGTGTGTGTGTGTGTGTGTGTGTGTGTGTGTGTCCTGTGCACACCTGTGGAGCTCAGAGGACACTTTTAGGAGTAAGTTCTCTCCTCCACCACCTGGGTTCTAGTAATAGAACACGAGACATCAGGTTTGCATGGCAGGTATTTTTTAAACAAAGCCATCTCCTCTCTCCTATTTTAATTTTCATCTCTTGCCATCATAGTTAAGTTAAAACAAAACAACATGTTTGAAGGGGGTGCTTGAGATACCGTTCTTTGTTGGAAATCTGAAGACAGAATGGAATTGTCCCGGTATCCAGAGCTGTAGTTTATCTCTTGGAGGAGGATGTAACCTGTTTGTCCTTGCTGTAGTGTCAAGACTAAGAACAGAGCAAGCAAGGCCTGGGGAGGTAGATGTGACAAACCATCACCTGGAAGAGCCAGTCAGCCGAGGAATAAGCTGCTGTGCTATGCAGGGAGCTTGTCCTCTGGTGAGAGTCAGGCAGGGGGGTTGGGTGACATGTCAGTGCTTCATGCATTGACAAGATTTTATGTCATTTGAAGTTCTTAAACTAGTCTTCAGAATATTGATGGACCCCTGACTGTACAAATAATGTTGAATGGACACAAAAATAAACATGTCTCCCCAGAAAAGGATTTGTACAATTGACTTGCTTAAAGGAGTCTATTACTTGCGTGGGGTGGGGGGAGTTAAGAATTTATAGGTGAGAGATGAGGGAGAGGGCTCTGTTGGTAAAATGCCTGGCATGCAAGCATGGGGACCTGAGTTCAGATCCCTAGAACCTACAAAACAGTGTGTATGATATCTTGTATCTGTAACCCCAGCACTGGGGGATAAGTGAGTTGGAGACAAGTGGTCCCTGGAGCTCATTGGCCAGTCAGACTAGCCCAATCAATGAACTCCAAGTTCAGTGAGAGTCCCTGTATCAGAACGTAAGGTGGAAGGATTCCACAGACATTGGACATTGACCTCTGACCTCCACATTCATGTACACAGGCAAAGCACCAACATTACACTATACTATACACACACACACACACACACACACACACACACACACACACACACACACACAATTTAAAAACTAAAGGATTCACAGGTTAGGTGGAATTTTCCACCTATTTTAAAAGACTTTAGGTCCTCTTTTAGAGAACACTCAGATACATCTTGATGGTTTGTTCTTCAGTATTATTCTGGTGGAAGGTGGTGGGACCCTTAAGACTTCGAGCTTAGTGTAGGGCAGTTATGTCATTGGGCTGCCCTTGGAGAAGACTAATGTAAACCCTGGGGGACCTCATCTCCCTCCAGATTAGCCTGTTATAAAAGGGTAAAGTTGGCCCCTTCTTGTTTTTTGGCTTCTTGTGTTGCCTTGTGAATCTCTATGCATATATTACTGCCACAGTGTGTCCTGACACCAGATTGTGGACTTCTGACCTTACAAATCATGAGCTAAATGAACATCTTTGTAAGTTTTCCAGCTTCTTGGATTTTGTTATAGCAACAGAGGATGAGTGAATACAGCCAGGTTCAAATTATGTTCACACACACTGAGAGATTTCTTTTGTATGTTACAGCTTGGATTCCGTAGACAAGTCAATTGTCTATGCCGTTGAGTCTGCTGTGATCAAATGGAGCCACCAAGTTCAGGTGGTCCTCAAGAAAGCATCTTCTCAGCCACTCTTACAAGGGGAAAATCCCACCCCCAAGGTGGAACTGGAGTTCTGGAAGAGCAGGTAGGCAGGGAGGCACATGTTGGAGTCCTTGGAGAGGAGAGCTGACAGAAGAGAAAGCCAGAGCTGACCTGGTAGAGCCACTGTTGAATATGGTTCCACCTCCAGATATTTCTCATCCTCCCTAGGGTAGCTGACTGGGTATCTTAGGGTCAATACAGTTTCTTTCTGTGGACTGGAAGACGAATTCTTTCCCTGAGGTTCAGTAGCCACCCTTCTCTCTTGGGGCACTGTCAGTTCACTGGGGGAATCTTTCAACCACATGTATATAATCGAATCAAGACTTAAAATATGTTTTACGCTTTTTTCAAAGAACGTTTTTTTTTTTATTTCATGTGTATGAATGTTTTGTCTGCATGTATGCATGTGAACCGCAGTTGTCCAGTCCCCTGGAGCTGGAGTTACAGATGGTTGTGAGTCACTATGTGGGTGTTGGAAATCAAACTTGGATCCTCTGCAAGAGCAGCCAGTACTCTAAACTGTGGAGCCATCTCTCCAGCCTTGACTCTTAATACTTTTATTCTAAATTCTGTTCACCTTTCTTGGATAACCAAGGTTAGATGTACATACCTCTGTAAGGATCTGGAAAACAGAAGAGATTTTGGATACTGGCTGCAGAACTGCCTGTCCTAGGTCTTAGCTTGTCGTTAACAGCCCCTGTGTTTCAGTCCCATGGGGTGACCAGAAATGCCTGACTTTCTCCTGACTACTTCCCTTCCTGCCCTCCACACTTGGCTCCCACAACTTTATGGTTGTGCTGGTGAATCTCTTCTGGAGGAGACAAGCAGATGCTGGAGGCAGATGTCCCTACATAGAACAGAGTGTCTGTGTCATAGGAAGAGCTGTCCCGTAGGGCTCCAGACCTCTTTGCACCACCAGGCTGAGAAACCCATCATCTTCCCCTGACTTCTAACCATTTACTGCTGACCTATGATGAGGCCCTTCTCAAGAAGTCCCACCTCAACAACACTTCTGTTTCCCTGCCCCAACCTTGCTGCAAGAACTAATGACCTCCAGCTGCCAAGCTTTAAAGCTACCAGCTGGTCCCCCGACAGTGTTTCCTGGAGTTTTTCCTTTGAGCCTTTGTTCCTGTGTCAGGCTTTCACCTATACTCTTTTGAAACAGATGCCTGGCCCTTGGGGCTGGAGCTCAGTCTGTGGAGGCCCCTGAGGCAGGGCTACCCTCTGTCTGCAGGAGGGTGGGCATCAGAGTGTGACAGCATTTCCCGATACTCACCCTACTTACTCCATGATATTGCAGGTGTGAGGACCTGGAACACATTTATAATCAACTGATGACACTCAAGGTGAGGGGCATGGCTGGACTCCTGGACAAACTTCAGAGCAGCTACTTGCCGGCTTTCCGAGCCATGTTCAGAGACGTTGAAGCAGGTGAGGACCAGCAAGGGTTTCCAGAAATCTATTTGACTCGGCATTTTCCTTAGTGCTGCCTTCTACTCTCTTTGGGATGTCAGAACCGTCACGTCTTTATTACCATCTTATCTGGCACAGGACAGCATGGTGGCAGGAATGCCACTTCTGGAAGCAACTGTGTGGGTCAGCTGCCGTGTGACCTCTCTGTAGTGGGAACTCTGGCTCTGCTGTGCCAGCGTCCTTGCCTCCCTCAGCCCTTGTGAGGTCATCTAGATGGAAGAATGTTATTAGCTGCAACACGCTACGAATACATGCTGTGACAGAGATGGCATCTCACCTCTGGAGTTTAGGTCCCTGCATCCTTGACATTTGGAGGAATCTCTGTTCTGTTTCTAGCCCCATTCTGCCTTTTCTGTTCAGACAGGGCTCCAATTTCCTGTCCCTCTGAGAACCAGACAAGATCAGCCTTCGTCAAAATTGCATAACCGCCGAGGACTGGGGTGAGATGTAGGTGCATTTTCCCCAGGACTCCCTCTTCCCTCATTGGTGCAATTTGCCACTCCCCCCTCCCATTTTCCTACTAAACCTCTCCTTGTTCTTAGTACTGTAGATCAAAATGTGCTTTTAAAGGTATTTTCAATGTTATATCAGTTAAACTTAATCTAAATAGTGATTTTCAAATACTTTCTTCTCCTAGAACTTTCTTTAAATATTCTGCTCCATATTTGTTCAAAATATAAACATAATCAAGGTCTGTTTGTTCTGTTAACAAGGAAAGTGGGGAAGTGTCCTATATCCAGAGCCCACTAGCTGACCTGTCTGTCATCTTACTTTCTCCTCTGCTCTGGGGAATACAGGAGTTAGTGACAGGGTATCTTTTCCTCTCTTCCTTTCTTTGTGTGTATCTTTGTTGTTGTTTATAAGATAGCATCTTGCTGTGTAGTTCAGGCTAGCCTTGAACTCAAGAGTCTCCTGATGCAGACCCCTAAGTGTTGGAATTACAGGCATGAGCTACCCCACCCATCTTCAGTACTGGGGTCTCTGAGGGAAGCCATACGACAAAGAAGAGCTGTCTTAAGGAGCCTTGGGGTTTGCCTGGCCCCTAAAGCCTTTGCAGTGGCTACTAAAGCTGCCTCGGAACAAGATGTCTGTTGAAGTGTCAGTTCAACCTTTCTCCAGAGGTACTGTGTCTCAGGGGTGTTATGTGTGCTCCTAGTCTGAGCTTCAGTTGAAATACATAGGTGTCACTGACATCTGTTATGGTGTTCCATGGTGGATTTGACGGATGAGTAGGCAAGATTTTATAAAGTGACTTGAAAGGTGCTCTGTTTGGGCAGATGGCACCAGCTTTCTACTTGGGGTTGAAATAAGTTTTTGTTTTACACACAGTCAGCCCTCCGTGTCTGTGGATTGACAGTCATAGACTCAACTGACTGCGTTTTTAATTTTTTCCATACTCAACACATACAGATTTCTTCCTTGTCATTTTGTCCTAAACAGCACACTACACAACTTCCTACATAGGATTTATATTCTACTAGTTAGTATGAGTGGACTATAGGTGATTTCAAGAATGCAAGAAGGCCAGGCATGTCGCGTACCTGTAAATCCCAGTGCCTAGGAGACTAAGGCCGGAAGAGCTCAAGTTTGAGGCCATCTTTGACTATATATGAGACTCTTACTCAAAAAAAAAATAATAAAAATTACACAGCATTGTGTGACTAGGTTATACACAAACACTTACACTGCTTTCTACATGGAGACTGAACATTTATAGCTCTGGGTATTGGCAAGGGGTCCTGAAACAGACCCCCCCCCCCCCCGCCAGGACACCAAGGAACTCTTGTGGTTCTACCTAGGTTAAGGTGGGAGATGTTTAGAGAACTACTGGGGAAGCAGTGCTGCAGACACATATAATGTGTGTAAATGCCTGAAGTTTAGAACTCAGCCGACAGCATGATGGAAGAGTGTGCCGCTGTGCGTTGGTCGTTGGTCACTCAGTGCCCATCTGTGTCTTTCACACTAGTAGATTAGGAAACTCATTGTTCACATGCGCTGATGGTTGTAAAGGATTTGTTTCTCCAGGCCAGTGTTCAAAATGCTTCCTTTCCAGTCAACTGTATGCTGGGAGAGGTATTTGGAAAAACAGCACTATGATGGTATGGAACATACAGTGAGGCAACAGTAGAAACCCTTGAAATATGTGAGTCAGTTCCCATGATGACAGAAAAAGAAATTTTGATTAGAGGTGATAGGGAGAGCCTTGGTCAGGAATTTGACAGAGTCTACAAGAATAAAAAGATTTTTAAAGGTTACTGACTGGTTTTTATCCTTTATACTCTAATTTTAGAACATCTGGCTTTTTTGATCCTGAGTAGATACAGTGAATGCATTATTCTTAATAGTCATAGTCAAGCAGTTCGTTAGCTTTTTATGGACTAGAGAGAAATAGAGGCAATGGAATGCTGGGGTGCGAATGCAGATGAGAGAACTATGGAATAGAGAGAGAATGGATGAAATGTGGGGAACAAAGATGATTGGACACTGAACTGATTGGAATGTGAAGATACTTGGGAAATGGGAAGTGGAATTGACTGTCCCCTTGGGGGCAAGAATGTCTAGCTAAGGACTTCTCTTCCTGGCCATTAGCAGGAATGATTGACACAAGACAACCTGGTTTCCAATTGTCTTGGTGTACCTGTACTGTCCTACCAGCCACCACAGAATGCATCATTTAGTCCTCAGTATTTTGGAGGCTAAGATGATCAAGATCATGACCAAGGAAGTTCAGTTGTCTGGTGAGGGTTACTCCCCTCCTGCAGGATGGCACTTGGTTGTTGAATCCTGTAGGGGGAGAAGGGCTGTGTTTTCACATATGGAAGTGGAAGGCAAGCTAGCAGAATACTACAAGAAACCTTTAATCCTAGTGGCAAGGGAGGAGCCCCATTGCCTAATAACCCTTACCAACCCCTGGAGTTAATTCCTCCCATTGACCATTTTCAACACCTGATTTTTTGGGAGGGATGGACACAATGAAGCCACAGTCCTGACTAGAGATATTTGAAGGTAGACTGTCGGGAAAGAAAGCACAGCCCTGTGCTACACTGGAGCCACTGAGGACTGGCTGTCTCCTATCTGCATCTTTCTTAATCCCCTATCCCTACTCCCCAAGAAGCATTCAGACAAGGTAAGCCAGCAGCTTGAAACTGGACATAGTGGATATATTGCGAATATTTATACCAGAGATTACCAAATGGACACATGAAGGCATTTTCCCTTAGAGTTTGTTGTTAAAGGTTTACCAGCAAATGACTGCACATGTCTGTCAGTCTTCCATATCTGACTATTTAATTAATGCAGATTAAAGTTGAAATAAATAAATATAGTATAACAACATAAAACTATACACATTCTAAAACAAACAGGTGGAAGGATGGCTCAGTGGTAAAGTCACTTTCTCTGCAAGCATGAGGACCTGAGTCAAATCCTAGCACCCATGTCAATACTGGCCATGGGTGTGAGTACCTATAAACTCAACATTGTGGGGCAGAGGATGGCAGAGCCCAAGAGTTTTTTGGTCAACCATCCTAGTTGAAAGGAAAACTTGCAGTCCAGTGAAATACCTTGTCTCATTCATACAGGAACACATCTGAGATCCCTCTCTGGTTTCATTCACATGCATTGTGCCCATACAATACACACACACACACACACACACACACACACACACACACACACACACACACACAAGCACACGCACACGCACATGCACATACACACACATACACATGCACTAAAAACAATATAGAATATCAGATTTCAAGCTATAGTAATAACCATAACATGGGCCTGGCCTGGCATAAAAACAGACATGTAGAACAGAACAGAACAGAAAACATAAACATGAACACACATACTTACAGCCATTACATATTGACAAAGGTGCCCAAAATATACATTAGAGGAAAGAAAGTATCATTAACAAATGGTGCTGGGAAAACTGGATGTCCATATGAATGTAGACTCATACCTATTACTCTGCACAAATATCAACCGCAAATGGATCAAAAACCTCAATGTGAAACCTGAAACATTGAAGCAGCTAGAAGACATAGGAGGTACCCTATAGGTTGTAGGTGCAAGAGACTTTCTGAAAGGGACTCTATTCACACAAGAATTAAAGTGACAGGTTAACAAATAGGGCCTCTTCAAACTAAAAGGCTTCTGTACAGCAAAGGAAACAATCAGATGAAAAGAAAGCCCCACAGAGGGAGAGAATCTTTGTCAACTATACATCTAGAGGATTAATTTCCAGATATATGAAGAACTCAAAAAAAAAACCTCTAGAATGCAAACAATCCCATTAAAACTGAGCTCCAGATATGAACAGAAACTTCTCAAAAGAAAATGGCTAAGAAATATCTTTAAAGGTGTTCAACATCTTTAACAATTAGGGAAATGCAAAATAAAACTACTTTGAAATTCTATTTCACCCCAGAGTAGCAAAAGTCAACAAAAGAACCAACAATAAATACTGAAGAGGGTGTGGAGAAAGGGATACCCTGTTGCAAACTGTTACAGCCACTCCAGAAATGAGTGTGGAGAACTTTTTCAAAAGCTACAAGTAAATAGATCATATGGCCCAGCTGTCCCATCCTTGGCAGATGCCCAAAGGATTTGACATCCTACTGCACAGAGAGGTACCCTGTGCCTTGCTGCTCTATTCACAGGAGTTAGGAAATAAAAGCAATCTACATAGCATCCAACTGCTGAAAATGTGGTCTATATACACTGTGGGATCCTATTCATCAGTAAAGAAAATTAGATTGTAAAATTTTCAGGTAATGGTTGGAACTGAAAAATATACTGAGGTGACCTGGACCCAGAAAGACCAACTCAGCATCTTCTCTCTTATTGTGGTTACTAGTTCTGAGTCTTTAGAGGTGAGCATATGACCTTATCTCACTGCAGAACCAAGGGAAGGAGAGATAAATAATATTAAAGATGTTTGAAGAAGCCACAGAGAAACATTATTTTATGATATATATGTGAGAATTATACCACACAGGTTGCTAATTCTCCCCCACGAAAGCCATAACTATCTTACAGGCATAAGAAACCTCTCTTTGAGTTGTTGGTTGGGATCAAGAGACTCCCCCAAACAATATAGGCTATTATCATTACCTTTGGTTGCCTCCCAAAACTTGAAGGTAAGACCTTATTGCTGAAGACACCACACAGTTTGGATAGAGGAACTGAAGGAAGCCTCTTCCCTGAGGACTAGCCATATGTTAAAGTTCTGTGCAAGCTGCTGAGGGAGAAAAGCAATCAACAATAGTTCTATCCACCTGCAAAGCCTACCAGCCACAACAATGACTGGCCCAACAAGATATCCCCAGTGTGGTGATATATTGCGTACCCCAATAATGCTTGCCTGGGGATCCGAGGACAAAGCCAGCCACTCTATTAAACATAGAGGTCAGGCTGTGGTAGCATATACCTTTATTCCTAGCATTCAGGAGGCAGAGAAGGCCACACTGAGAACAGAGCCAGGCGTGGTGGCACATGCCTTTAATTCCAGCACTAGAAAGGAAGTAAGATGGCAGGGCACAGAAAGGTATATAAGGCATGAGTAAACAGGAAGTCTCTCTCTTGAGGCTGAGAATTTGTAGAGGTAAGCTAGTGGCTGGCTGTCTTGCTTCTCTGATCTTTCAGCTTTCACCTCAAGTATCTGGCTGTGGGTTTTTTTTTTTTATATTTTAAGACCTGTTGTTGGAGTTTTCTCTCTGGGGCCCGCCAAGCCCCAGCAGTCCCATAGCCCACTTATAAAATAAACATACAGACGCTTATATTATTTAAACTGCTTGGCCATTAGCTCAGGCCTATCATTGTCTAGCCCTTACTCTTATGTTCAGCCCATTTTTATTAATCTATACTTTGCCATGTGGCTCATGGTTCACTGGTATCTTACATCTTCCTTGTCCTGGCAGCAGCTCCAGGCAGTTTCCTCCTTCCCTTCCTGTTCCCTTAATTCTCCTCTCTGTTAGTCCTGTTTATACTTCCTGTCTGGCTACTGGTCAGTCAGTGTTTTATGTATTAACATACTTGCCATACAGAACATCCCACAGCAAAGACCTTTTAAGATTCGTGTTACACCCCAGTGATGCAACAATGGCACTTTCATCTTGGGGTATCCGGTAGCTGTGTAAATGAATGTAAAGCCTGTCCAGTGGGCAAGGATTCATACCTGGCTCTGCAAATCCAGCCAACTACCCATGGCTGAGGAGGTCATAGACTCTACAGGAGAGCCTACTACTGCCATGTCCCTAATATAATTTCTAACAGTATTCTAAATGCTTATTCTTCTACACACAGGTAAGTATAGCTCTCTCTCCCATCATCAAAGAATTCTCCTCCTGCAGCAAATGGGGACTATTACAGAGATTCATAACTGGTCAAAATTCACAGAAAAAGTGATCATGGGACATTCAGCCCCAACTGGTACATATAATGATACAACCCCTAAAACACAGAAGGGGGGCTGGAAAGTTTGTAAGAGCCACAGGACCCAGATGCCTGTTGCTACCTAGTGCCTTCTAGACATGACAGGAGCTTTCTATCCGTGCCATCTCAATGATATGAGTACCTGAAGCAAGCCTGCATGGTGACACCAGGTGACATGCCAACATAGATAGGGAAATTTTTACAAAATTTTACAAGGTCCTACCCCTTGATGATGAGCTACAGGCAATCCATGGCTGCTGAGAGAGGGCAAGTAAGTCTCCAGGGACAAGGTCTGTGATCAGTTATCTAATCCCAAGTGGTAAATGCTAACCACACCTACATAGGAGTAACACCAGACTGACTCAGTAGGTCATATATATAGAGGGAGTCATATATATATATATACACACACACACACACACATATGTATACACATACACACATATATTATATATACATATATATATACATATATACATATATATATAGAGAGAGTGTGTGTGTGTGTGTGTGTATGTGTGTGTGTGTGTGTGTGTGTGTACCTATAATGAAGGAGGAAAGTTCACAAATCTGAGAAGGAATGAGGGAGTGTGGCAGGAGTTTGAAAGGGAGGAAGGATGGGTAGAAGTAATATAAATACATAGTACTTACATATGAATTTCTCAAAAATTTTAAATAAAAATTCTAACATAATGGCTAAGTGTGAAGCTCATTGATAAAGTGAATACTGGACATACATGCGGCCTTAGGTTCCATCCCCAGCACAATATACACAGAAAATGCAGTTTAGCAATTACTCAGCATTGTCCCTGTGTTAGATGTAAGTGACAGGGAGGGGATTCAACATACACAAGAGGATGTGTGCAACTTATATGCCAACACCATGCCATTTCATGTAAGAGTCTTCAGAATCCTTCTCTTTGGGGATCCAAATGGGGCTATTAACCAGTATCCTTCAGAAATTGAGGAATAGATAATCTTAACAACAAAACAAACAAAAAACACCAAGCACAATCCTAGCTCTATCCGTCTTAATTTGTTTTTGTTTGTTGCTGGTGTTTTTGTTTTCCAATCAAGGTAATTGCTTCCTGATTGATCTAGGGAGCAGTTTATGCTTTCTCAAATATTATGGTCTTAAAACAATCAAGTTTATGTCTCGGTGTCCAGGTGTATGAAGAAAGATTTGAGTTTTGAAAGGGCCCTCAAATAGGGTGACATGAAGAGAAGACTCCTGTGCATATGCCTCAGCTTCGCCTCCGATATGCATGTGTCTCAACTTCATCTGTCAACAGCACACGTGAAGCCAGGTCTTGTGCCCTTTCAAATGGCTGTTGGATGTTATAGTCCTCTGCCTCAACTCAGTGGTTCTAATACTTACTGTCAGCCTCCCACATAGAATATTATCACTTTTATTGGAGTGCCAGGTCATTTGACTGGCTCATACAGTGGCTTCCAATACACTACTTGGGATATAAAGTACAAGCATCCATATCCATTTATCATGTGTCCCTTGGGCCTCAGGGCAATTGATGCAGAGGTTTAGAATAAACAGGGGTACCCCTTCTTTTGTTCTGGCAAAGAGGGCTGGTTGAGTCACACAGTGAGCCTAGGGAATTACTTAGGCCTAATGGGATGCTGTAATATCTAGTGGTAGAAAAAAAATCCTGGTGTATTGGAGGTTGCAGCTAAATCGGGGATATTTTAAATTTCCTTTAGAGTAGACATGGAGCCTGATCCGAATAATATGACCTAAGAGCACCTGCTCTCATAGACACCACTAGTTACCTGCCTAGGAGGGAAACATCTGCTGATATTCCCTTCAAGCCAGCTTCCATTTCTTCTGGGTTGCTATGCACATGTCAGTGCTACCAGCTTTACCACGTTTCCCCATCAGTTACCACAAGATGATCGCTGAAGGCTTCTCCCCCGGAGCTGTATTCAAGGGAATGGTAGGACAGTTCTTCAGCTTTGAAAGCCAGCAGAATCTTGCCATCTCCAGTCCACGCTACTCCTCCATTCCCTGTGGTTTCTCTTTCATAAGCACTCAGGAAACTTTCTATTAAACACTCACCAGAGATGCTGATGTTCATTAACTGTATGCTACAGTCCTGGCACAGCCCTGCTCTCTAGGACGATGCCGTTTATACTGCCTTCTGTTATCATGACTCCTGAAATTACCATTCAGATCAGCCTGGTTTTGAGGCTTACAGATGTTAGATGTGTCCAAAGTCATAGAGTTGGGAGATGTCTGGATCAGCATCTGAAGGCACAGTCTTTTGGGCTTGTCCCGTCATCTGTCTTCATGTCATCTTTGTGGTACCAGCATCAAAGTCATCAGCAAACATTTATCAAGGGAGGGGATCTGCCAAAATAGAGAAGCAGACTGGGGCTGTGTGCTGTCTAGTCCTGTGTCAACTTGACACAAGCTAGAGTCATCTGAGAGGAAAGAGCCTCAGTTGAGAAAATGCCTCCATAAGATCAGGCTGTAGGCAAAACTGTAAGGCATTTTTTTTTAACTAGTGATTGATGTGGGAGTGCCCAGCCCATTGTGGATGGGGCCACTCCTGGGATGGTGGTCCTGGGTTCTATAGGAAAGCAAGCTGAGCAGGCCATGAAGAGCAAGCCAGTAGCAGCACCCATCCATGACCTCTGCATCAGCTCTTGCCTCCAGGTTCCTGCTCGTTTGAGTTCCTGCCCTGACTTCCTTTGATGATGAACAGTGACGTGGAAGGGTAAGCTGAATAAGCACTTTCCTCTTCAAGTTGCTTTGGTCATGGTGTTTCATCACAGCAATGGTAACCCTGACTAAGACAGTCTGGGAAAACCAGGAAGAAATCCTGATACAGGACTGTTGTCAGCGAGATTTTCTTAGTCCATCATTCTAAGAGTGCTCCGAATTTCAGTCTTTCTTCAGAAGAACCTGGAAGTTTTCTGAAATAATCTTCTCCATCTTCTCACATCAGGAAGAAATTGCAGTCTTGTCTTTGCCAACCCTTCGCTTCCCATACACTGGGGCTCTATGAGTTAGGTGGTGCCCCAGCAAGGATAGCTGACCATCTCTTAACTCCTTCCAGCCCTGACAGAGGCCCAGGACATCCATGTGCACCTGTTACCACTCCAGCGACACCTGGACATCCTAGAAAGCGTGGAGTTTCCTGAGGTGAAGGGCAGGCTGAGGCCTCTGCTCCATGTGGTCTGTCTGATTTGGGCCACCTGCAGGTGGTACCCGCTCCCCAGGGAGGCTCACAGTCCTGCTCCAGGAAATCTGCAACCTCCTCATCCAGCAGGTGAGCTGATCTGTGCAGCCCAGCAACTTCTCCCTAGGGGCTGGTTGGCACAAAGAAAGGCACAGAGAAGAGTAAAATGTACTTTTTCCTTAGGCATGGAAGTCATGGCAGCCCAAAGAATTCTCACATTTGAATTATATATTTTCACAAGCCAGCCATTCACAAAGAGGTTTTTTTGGTACTGCTAACACACTGGGGTGGCCCAGTCTTTTCTTGCTTTCTGCCTAAGCCCTGAGTGAGGCAAAGGACAGGGCTGGTAAATGCAACCTCGTTCATGATGGGTGTGAGCGGTTTGTATGAAGTCACCAACAGAGCCTGGTAATTCAGAAGGGAGTCTCTGAAGCCAAGGGATTCCGCTCCTGCCTTAGCATATGTGAGCTGTGTGTTCCAGGGCGAGCCACTTGCCTGCTCTGTGCCTCCTTGTCTTTTTACAATACTGCAGCACAAAGGGAACCATCTCACGGGGTGATGGAGAGGTTTCAGTGTCACGATGCAAAGGATGTTTGTGCCCCGCACACGCTCAGAGCTCCTTAGCTGTGACATTTTGAGATGCTGCTGTTTGGTTGCTCAGAACAGTCCTCCACTTTTTTTTTTTTTTTTTTTTTTTTTTTTGCTGCTGCTGGTAGGTTTTTGTTTGTTTGTTTGTTTCTTTGTTTTTGTTTAGTGGTTGAATCCAAGGCCCTTCACATGTTTGATACGGGCACTCTAACAGCAAGTTAACCTATTTTTAAATTTGGGGATAAGACGTCATGAAATTTCTCAGCCTAGCCTTAAACTTAAACTTGCAATCCTCCTGCCTTGCCTTCCCAAGCAGATGGGAGTCCAGCTGTGTGCCATTGTACTGGCTTTCCTACCCCCTGTTAGAGACCCATGTAGCACTAGGGCAGTGTGGATCTTAAAGAGTGTTTCTGTTAAGTGGGACTACAAGTCTTGGTTTGGGTGGCCTTCCCCCCATATTGACTTCTTTTTGGCACCTATGGACCATCAACCCTAAGAAAACAATGAGCAAGCTCACAGAATAGCTCATTGTAACTGGCACCCACTGAGCATGTTGAGGCTACAAAACGGTATTATATTTATAATCCCAGTCAGACATCAGATGAAGGGACAAAGGGGACCCTAGAATTTATTACTTATTTAAAGATGTTGTTTGAGGTTCAGGATATTGACTACTTACCCAAGCACACCCACAGCAGCACCCACATCTGTGGTGTTTGTCTCACAGATCCGCATGTCACTATCACTATCCATGGGAACGCTGGAAGTATAAGGAGACCTAAGAAAATAGAGCATCAATAGAGAAAACATATTATCTCCTGTGCTTTGAAAACCTGAGGCAAGTCTGGCTCCAGGCTGACTTACATTGTGGTTTCAGATGATGCCTCCCGAACCCAGTACTCTCTGCTGCTCCCTGTGTTGGTGATGGGGACTATCCAGTAGCTTAGCTTCCCACTTCCAAGGTTTAAGTCTCTTGAAAACTAAATATGGCCCAAAGCATTCTTTCAATCAAAATATCTTGTTCTCAAGTCAATAAATCACAGAGGAATATTTGGGGATTAACAACTAACAAGACCCAGCTGGTTCAGCCACATCCCATAATGCCTTCTAGTCTCTGACTGGTCACATGTCCAATCACAACATGGTTTAACACACTGTGGACTGAAGGGCCATAGACTGTTGGGCTTAAACACTGTTCCAAGATCACCTGTGGAACTGAAAACTTGGTCAGAAGTTTTCTGTGTTGCACTTGTGAAAAGCATTACTTGGACCATTATTTAGTTTCTGAGACAGTGTTGACACAGTCATGGGATATCCTGTGCCTGCCACTGTATTCACAGTTACTGATTTCTCTACATCCCAGGCCTCTAATTACCTCAGCCCAGAAGACCTCCTGAGAAGTGAGATAGAAGAAAGCCAGAGAAAACTACAAGTGGTCTCAGACACCTTAAACTTCTTCAAATGGGCATTTCAGGACAGAAGGGAACATCTCCACACTTACTTCAAGGAGGACTCAGAAGTCAGGGGATGGGATTTCCAGGTGTCTTTGGTCTTTGTACGACTGGATAGCTTTCTGGGCCGACTGTGTGTGGTAGAGGTGAGTATATTCATTCACCACAGGCTCCAGTCCAACACAGGAGGAAGTACGAGACCTCAAATGCTACCGGGTGACCAGAAAGATTTTTTTTTGGCTCATGATAACAGAGAGTTTTAGTGTATCATGGAGGCGAAGTCAGGGTGAGAACGGGCTCCATCTGTGGTGACAGGAACACGTGGCAGCAGACGGTCGAAGGATGAAACAGAAAGCAGAGAGCAAGGCAAAGGGTCAGGGGGCTAAGTTATATGCTTTGAAGGCCTGCCCCTAGTGACCTTATGTCTACTGGCTAGGCTCCACCTCCTTAAGGTTTCACAGCCTGTTGTAACAGCACCACCACTTGGGGGTCAAGCATCTGAACATGGGAGCCTGTGGGGTTACATTTTAGACAATCACTCACTCGTGGTTGGCTGTCAGGACTATTGAAAAGTTTTCAGTAAACAGCTGCCATTTGGATTGGTCACCAACCAGTGGTGGTTCTGTCAGCATTTGGGGACTTTGATCATAGGCACTTAGGGAGAAAGTCCCAGAAACCATTCTGCTATCTTAGCTTGTTTGCAAATAAGCCTGGGCTGGAAAGTCCGGCGTGCAAAACTGGAAGAGAACAGGTCTACATAGAGCTACCCATTCTCACAGGCCAGTGGCTTTGAACTTCCCCTCCACCCCTAGACTGCTCAGTGGCTCTAAGTCCCTAAAGCTGGTGACTCCCTGGGCAAAGGAAACACAGCTTACTCATAGTTGTCTTTCCTGCCAAATATTCAAAAACAAATACGAATTTTAGCTTAAGGAAGAAAAGACATGAGACTTTTCCTTTTGCTTTTGAATCTCAGAATTTAGTGTGTTATAGCTATGGCCTTACTAAGTTTTGATAATTTTTTTAATAAATACTTTTATCACTTTCCTTCTCTCCTTTCTACCTTCCAGCCATTCCCAACTACCTTTTCTTGAACCTCTCCCATGTATTCCCCAACTCTCAAGTTGATAGCCTATTTTTTATTATTACTGTTACATGCATGTGTACAAATATATACACAACCTGCTGAATCTATTTCTTGTTGTTTGTGTGTATATGGTTTTAGGACTGACCACTTTGCAATGGACAACCAATAAGGAGCCTTATCCCTGGGAGATGCGAGTTCTCTTCCCGAAAGACATTAGTTACCTATAAGTCTTTGTCTAGGTGTGGGACCCAATGAATTTTCCCTGCTTCCATGCTAACCTATTCATTGATATTACATTGTTCTGGTCCCTTTCATGTAGTCATTTCTAGGAGGGACATTTCATGGCAGACTTCTTGGTATTCTGGTTCTTACAATCTTTCCAGCCTCTCTTCTTACAACTTCTCTGAGCAGGGGCTGTGATGATATAGATGTATCCATTTAGAGCTGGGCTCCCTAAAAATTAATTGATCTCTGTATTGTGTCCATTTGTGGTTTTCTGTGATGTTCTCCATTTGCTGTAAAGAGAAGCTTCTTTGCTGAGGGCTAGTAGCCACACTTATCCAGGAAAGGTAGCTCATGGAATCTGATGGAATTTTTGTGGAAAGGATAAGGGTCACAATAAGAAGTACATATTAGGAGTAACTCGAGGACTTCAGGGTCTAGTTCAATATTAGACCAATAGCCAAGGAACAGAGAAGGAATTCACTTCTGTTCTAGCTATTAGTAGCAGAGATTTGGGGTGGAGAAAGATGTTGTTGTGGAAATGCTGTAACAAAACCTAACAAACCATTAGATGACAAAGATAAAATAATAATGGACTAAATCTGTTCATGTCAATTTTTTTAAAAATGCATATTTAAAAAATTCCCCAGGCATTGAGCTAAGTGCTGGGATCCAAAGATGAATAGAACGTAGTTTTGCCTAAATAACTTTCTCAGCATATAGTCATGGCATGGGAGAAGAGAGACAAATTAGCACAGATCATCCAGGGTAGAAAGATCGAGAATCAGTAAACTTTCCTAAGGTGAATTGAATGTCATAATAAAAGTACATTTGGGTTACTGGGAGCAAAAGAGAGGAGGAGACCCTAACCCAGGAGAGCTTTGAAAAACAGCAAAGAGCACAAGAGGAAATCAATTTTGAACTGGAAAAAAAAATTCACTGGGGAAAGACATAAAGGCAGAAAAATATATGAGAGAAAGCCAGGAGCTAGGTTTTATGAAAGGCATACCTTAAACCCTTCATCAGAATCAGGGGAGTATTAATAATTGATATCTAGCGTCATCCTAAATGCCTCATTTTCTCTTAGCTGTTTCCAGCACAACTCTTGCTGCTCAGCCCCTGCTCCCTTCCCCCTCCACTCATCATTCCTCTCATCTCCCACATCAACTCCTCACTGTTTAGCCAAGGTGATGGACACCCTGGCCTCTGGGCTGACCATGGAAGAATAATTACCTCTGTAGCATTGCAACAGTCCTGTTTGCAGAGCTCTCCAGCCTTGAAACAAGCTTCCAGAGACTGCGGGGGAGGGGTCTTCAGCCTGGTCTGCACATACTAATGGTATGGCTTTGCATATAGACAGCTATTCTAACATAAGGGCACCTAATCTGCAGGGAGTATCAGTAAATATTAGCCTAGCTGGCCACCACCTCCGCAGAGCCATTACCTCACTGTTGTCCCTTCTCAGCTTCTTTTTTTCTGAACCAAAGGCCTAGTTGCATAAAGAGCAGCTACTCTGGCTTGACTAGAGGGAACTTGGATACCCACTGCTCTCTGTCTCTTTGCTTCTGACCCTCCCAAGTTAGTGTCTCCTCCCTTACTCCTTTGCTCCTGGGCCCAGCTCCTCCATCTCTTATTTTTCATCTCTCCAACATTAGCTCCAATTCATCCCCCTTGCCCTTTGCTGTCTCCCTTCCTCCCCCATCTCTTCCCTCCTCAGCTCCGTGCTGCAGGACAGGGAACTATCGATTATCTTCTGGCATATTTCATGTAGCCCTTTAGTTAAACATTCTGAGTAGCACAGTGATCAATGCCTGTTTGGAATGGGATTCATCTGCTTCTCTCCAGCAGGAATTAGCATGAACTTAACCTTCTTCATCTTCTGTTCTCATTTCGATGTGTGATCACCACGATGCTGGCACCCTCAATTAATAAATAGAAGGAGTGACGTGAATGACATTGGTGCATCCAGCTCTCCTCTGCTCATGCTGAGGACCAGATTACAAGGGGCTGCTTTCTGACTGCCACAGTTTTCCCCAGCCTTCTCTCCTCTCTTCTGTAATGCTCTTCACCCTTTTGCTTTTGCCCCTCCCCCCCTTTTTTTATGCAGAAGTATTTTGTGGTACAGGTCCATGCTTCCCCTCTGGGTGCTTGCCTAAAAGAAGATAGGAGGCCGAGGTGGTGTGCAGTAAGGAGGGTCTGTGCTGGTGAGTAGTGTGTGCTGTGTGGAACAAGCGCTTCCCGAGACAGCAGCAGGGTACCAACCTTCTTCCTCATGGTCAGCACCCACGTGACCTACTCCTTGCCGTGGAAACTGAGGACTACAGACATAGAGAAATGACACATGCGAGAACTTTTCTCTTGTTAGAGCATGTGTCGTTGCAGTCATTAGAAAAGCTAATCATCAATACCCATTAATAAACAGTTCAACCTGACATGTCCAGTTAATTTATCCATAGTCATCCAGCGCAGAATGTTGATCTGGGATTTGTTCCCAGAAGCATGTATTCTTTTCATCCAACTTTGATATGCTCCAGGGAGTTGTAAACATCTCCTTCCAGTGCTGGCTTGTGCTCTCTCTCTCTCTCTCTCTCTCTCTCTCTCTCTCTCTCATCCTCTCTCTCTCTCTCTCTCTTCTTTCTTCCCTTCCCTCCACTCTCTCTTTCTTCCCTTCTCCCCCTCCTCTTTCTTTCTTTTCCTCTCTCTCACCCTCTTTCCCTCCCTGCCTATCTGTTGAGCGTCTCAACCTGGCTTTGTGGTTTTATTTCAACTCCTCCATATTCTTTTCTATCTTTGTATATGCTGTTTTGAGGCATGTAGTTTCTAGGTCTTTGAAACTAAGTAGGTCACTTAGGTAAAGTTCTAGGTCCCACTCCATGGAAGGCCTTTATTAGACTTCATGGCTTCACCTAAGGGAACCCCCAATATATAAAAAATCTTTTGCAGTTCAAATGAACAGTCAAGGAACTGAAGAAAAGCAGTCTCCTTGTGCCTCTGAATTCCTTGACTCATCCTACTTCCCAGAGCCATACTGGAGCATAACATGCATGCACACAAACATGCACACACACAGTTTGCTTTTATGCCACAATATTGTAGAATCTGCACATTCTTGTTTATATTTCTGCTTCAGCCTCTTCTCTGCAAACGATGCGGGGAGCAGCTTGGAGAGAGCCCTCATTTCTTTCATTATAAAATTGCTGTGATTCACTTGGAGATGAAATGATTTCCTGCTGGGGCTTTATGCAGAGTGATTAGTGGGGAGGGAGGTAATAAGCTGACCTGATACACTGCATTTCCTTGCGGTCCCTCTGCCATCTCCAGCCACTTTGCCCAGCCTCTTTTCATTCCTAGCCTAATTGGGCTGGTCTCCCTTTCAGCCCAGCTTGAACACATGGTCACGTGTGAGACCATTAGCTGCATAAGGTCAGTGGCAGTCGAAAGGTAAAGAAAACAGTCTTTTTTCAAATGACCTTTTGAGATTTTCATCTGTGAGTATCTGCTTTGTGCTATCCCTTAATGAATTCCAAAGACATTTCTTTTAAGACGGGCAGCCGGCTTGACCTCTCCTTCGGGAATAGAGTAACCGTTGGTGAAGCTTGCCATTACATCTGAGTTTGATTCTCCATCTCATGGGCCAGAGCACACATTGACTCCCATCTCTCCACCTGCCACCACCATTAAATGTTGCATCATTTTTCATAACAATAGGTCCAAATCAACCCAGTAAGTCTGCTGGGACCCCAGGGCGCTTTGTGATACCTGCTACAAAGGAGCAGCAGAGTGTCTCCTGGATAAGCCATTACTTATCCAGGATCTAATGACATTGGGATGCTTATTATT